GAAGTTGGTCAAGGATGTTGCTGCGGAGCTGTGGCCGGATCGCGCGTGAGATGTTGCGTCGCCTTGTTCTGGCATGGTCGATAAGCAGCGACATTGTGGTTGGCTGATGCTGACATAGGAATCAGCACACCCATGCAGTCAATCGATCAATGTAAACATTTAATCGTGTCAATCCATCTTTTAACCACATCAAGCATTTACCCGCAACAGTGAGTCGACCACCTCAAGAAGTCGACCGTTGTTCCACTGATTGGTTCGCGGCCTCCTGACTCGGCTTGGCATAGTGTATCCATCAGAGTGCATGTGAACGAGGGGTTGCATGACTTCAGCGCACTCCGATGACACTGCTGAGTACGGCGACTCCATCGGCCAATGGTTCAATTGAGCGATCAATGCGGTTGACAGGCTGATGGGAATGACTCGTAGGGACAGAACGCATTATTACAGATTGACCGACTGATGGGCAACAGACCAACCTGTTGACAGCTTGGTTGACTGTTCAAAAACACTGGCTGAGTCGCACTTATTTATTGCACAACATACAATCATCGCACCTCATCCACGGCATCATTGAGTGTGGCACGGCGCTTCTACTCGTCGTAACAACTGACGGTCCCGATACATGTAGGCTCCACCGCCTCAATGTCTGCCACGACCATGCTGTAAGCGTCGTACGACTGTATTGTGCACAGTTGATGCCTGAAGGATCTTCTTGTACTTTACACAAGACTATCTGTGAGCAGCATTACCTCAGTGATGTGTCGCCTGGCCGACATGCACGTTCTCCTATATGATTCCTGAAAGTCTCGAGCTTCCCTCGAATTTGGATAGCTCCCGAGTCTTCAAGACAGTCGATGGATGTCCCTTCTTGCCTAATGCGAGGCGCATCCGATTTCCAAGCCACGACGGCCAAGGACGCACTGCTCGCAGCCCGACCAAGTCTTTGCAGTGCCTCTGTATCAACGTGTGATGCACCTCCATGATGTTTAGGACAAACTGGAATTTCTGATATTGAGTAGGACATCGCAGGCATCACACTGACAGATAAGACCCAAGCTGCAAAAGTTGACGACGACGGCGTGTTGAAGCTGTCTCTGCAATTCTCTACTGCGTGCTTGCTGCAGGAGCTACACAGCATGATGGATAAGGTAATGGTTTGGGACGCGCCGCCGTGGCGCGCATGGCTCAAGCTCGTTCATGCACGATAGCAAGCAACATGACCGACACGATTGCATGTGCCTTTCACATGCTGTAGCTTTCGTCCTCATTTTGACTGTCGGGCAAAAGCCCCGAGGTGTCCTCGGATAGGGAGTCAGATTACCCCAGACCAATGAACTGTGGCACAGGATCCACCTGCTCCATCAATACGCGTGCAAAGCGCCCGCGATACTCTCTCAACACTTCAAGAATCCCGGACTTCTCTGGTGTGGCCACTCTCAGCCGGTTCGGCGCGCTCACTCTCTTCTGATGACCCATGGCGAGCAGTCAACTGCGACATGGTGGTGGAAACGCCGGTCTCGCTCATGGACGGAGGTGAGAACAGATTTGGAGCCGGCAGAACGCCAGCGTCGACGGGGCTAGGTCGGCGAGAACGCACGCTACCGTACAACTAGGCTCGCCTGGATCGGACCCTGCAGGCCGCAGCAAGATTGAACGCAGGGGCCGATCCATTCTTGGCGTGCTCTGGAAGAGTCAAGAATTGCAGTGCTTGTCGAATGGGTGCACTGCGTAGGTCAAATTACGGCCTCAAGCAAAAAATAGCGCGCCGTGCTCGTGACGATCAGAGCGTAGTTGAGGCAGCCTAATAAGGGTCATTGGCTGGGCTCGCCGCAAACAGAGCTTTCATCAAAGCAGCAATTCAGGTACCGCGGAGCGCGGGTAACGTAGGATGATGGCCAAAGCGTCGGGACTCAAAGGGTCAAGCAAACCTAACCTGAAAAATGTCGACTCCCAATGAGGCCACATAACAAAACCCGAGGCATTCGCACTCAACACGCTCTCTCCTACAAACCACATCCTCGTCTCCCAGTATCCTTCATTCATTGCTGAGTGTGTCATTCACAAGCCCATCTGTCGCTCGGGGGCACAGAGAGAAGTGTTTGCGTTCATTCTGGGAGACCGTCCCAACACGCCAAGCTCGACAGCATAAAGCCTCAACGGGAACCCACGATCGTCCCACACACGGGCAGTCCGATCTTCCCTATTTCATCACCGATCTCGCCTCGCAAGCGTCCAGGTATACGACTACAACCTCCTGATACCTCAAGCCTTGCTCGCTATTCGATTGCCGTCAGAATGAGCACCACCGCTCTTCCTGCGCAGAGGGCGCCTCTTCGACGAAATCTTACAGTCGACTCCGTTCCCTCGACATCTCCCAGCTCGCCTGCTGCATCCTCCCCCAGCGATTCTCCCATTGGCTCCGCCTCATCGACCTCCCTTTCGTCGCTCGGCTCGGTCGAGGATTTCCATCGGAAACCAGAGCAGAAGCTGCTGGACACATACGGCAACGAGTTCAAGCTGCCCGATTACAGCATTAAGGACATAAGAGATGCCATACCCAAGCACTGCTACGAGCGATCCGCGGCCACTGGGCTGTATTATGTTGCTAGGGACATTGTCTCGTTAGCCGGCACATTCTACCTTTTCAACACCTTTTGCACACCTGACTACGTACCCTCCACAGCAGCGAGGCCAGTTCTCTGGGGCGTCTATACCTTCATCCAGGGTCTTTTCGGCACCGGTCTATGGGTTCTGGCTCACGAATGCGGCCACCAGTCTTTCTCACCCAGCAAGACGCTCAACGACACCGTCGGCTGGTTCTGCCACTCCGCCCTCTTGGTCCCGTACTTCAGCTGGAAGATCAGCCACGGCAAGCACCACAAGGCCACCGGCAATATGGAGAGAGACATGGTCTTCCTGCCGCGTACCCGTGAGGAGCACGCCTCTAGAATGGGCTACGTTCTCCACGAGATGCACGAGCTGCTGGAGGAGACGCCAATCTACACCATGACCATGCTCATTGGCCAGCAACTGGTGGGATGGCCGTACTACCTCTTCGCGAATGTGACTGGCCACAACAATCACACCAAGCAGCCAGAGGGCAAGGGCCACGGCAAGAAGAACGGCGACTTCAGTGTGAACCACTTCTTGCCCAGCAGCCCACTGTACGAACGCAAGGACGAGAAGCTGATCCTGCTCTCCGATCTTGGTTTGGCCATTACCGCGTTCGTCCTCTTCTTAGTCGGCAAGAGCTACGGTCTCCAGAACTTGCTCGTGTGGTACGGCATCCCATATTTGTGGGTGAACCACTGGTTGGGTAAGTGCATCATTGCGCGAGTACGCAGCCTGACCGATCTGCTGACATTGGCTTCATAGTTGCTATCACCTACCTCCAGCACACTGACCCGTCTCTTCCCCACTACACCGGCGAGACCTGGAACTTTGCCCGAGGTGCGGCAGCTACCATTGATCGAGAGTTTGGTTTCATCGGTCGTCAGCTCCTTCACGGCATCATCGAGACCCACGTGCTGCACCACTACGTCAGCACCATTCCCTTCTACCACGCGGACGAAGCCACCGAAGCCATCAAGCCAATCATGGGCCAGCACTACCGTTCGGATGTTGAGGGCGGCTCGCTCGGATTCATTAAGGCCATGTACAAGAGCGCCAGGTGGTGTCAGTGGGTCGAGCCGAACGAGGGTGCTGCTGGCGAGAACAAGAATGTCCTGTTCTTCCGAAACAGGAACGGTCTTGGTCTTCAGCCCGCCAAGAGTGAGGATCCAGCAGTGAGCAAGGGCCGCAAAACCATGAAGATGCAAATTGGGGACGACAGCGACTAGCATGGGCTGGCACGTAATGTCTGATCTTTGGCAAATTCCGATACATGTCGCTCGTTATTATACGGGTTATCGTGCGCTCAAGCGCGGCGTTTGACGGGAGAGATATGGCTTGGTGGTCTGCATTCTTGGGGTCCGCGCCTGGATATAGGCTGCCGATGGTGTTCGACGATAGATACCAGACTTAGACTGCCCGATGGCTGTAACGACTGCCTAGAAAGAAAGTTTGCGGATATGAGGCCTTGCTCGACCGTCGAGCAAGTGGGGTGTATTTGATCCAACATTCATTAACAGCAGTCATGCTTCTCGTTGATAGCTTTTGCTTGTGAAGAGCGGCTTATGCTCTGTATGGAGATCTGGACAAGATCTAGGAAGACCTTGTAACGTGCGGGTGCGCGAAGACTCCGTAGCATCGAAGATCGAAAGCCTTAGCCGTCCATGATTCTAGCATGGGTCGCGCAGTCTGCCGGCTTAGTAATCACTGCAGAGTCTTCTGGCCTAGGAAATTCATGGGCGGTACTTCGAGGCTTTTGGCAATACCACGTGGAAAGGAGTACGGTTGGGCGGGTGCTCGGGAGGCATTTGTTCTTCGATGGATGATGATGGTGTTCTTGTATGTTATCTGTCTCTACAGGGCAAGAATGGGAGGATGTCCTTGCATAGCTCAGCGAGCATGGATGCAAGCAATATCGGTCGATGACCGGGACATATATCGAGAGCTTCGAGCTGCAAAATGCGTTTACGAGGCATAGTCCTGCACCCAGATCATCCTACAAGCCGTCGTCCCACGGCCACCTCCAGAGACAACCAAGAATCGACGTCGTCTCCGCCAAGCGGGAATGCCCATAGGCTCACCTCTCGATCCTTTCCACAGTTACATCACCCCAAAAACCAAAAACGAATGACTGTACTACTCCCGATGAGAATCGAACTCCTATCGCCAGCTAGGAGCTGGTATGGTATATCCTGTCCGTCCTGGAACAGGACTATATCCTGCCAGTGGGTCGGATCGTCCAGTCATACACGTAGGAGGCGGGAATGTGATGATTCAGGAGTCAAAGGTTTCTATGACTTCTCAGCTCAGGCTATGACTCTACAGCCGGAATCCCAACTCGAAAATGCTACAATATATCCTCAACATCAGCTTCGATACGCAATAATATAGGCCTCGTAGTATAACGGCCAGTACAACAGTCTCATGTAAGAGTCACCTCAAAGCAAACTGGGAATAGGAGTTCGATTCTCCTAGAAGCCATTATGATCTCCTTTTGCCTCCTCCACCACGATGACCAATCTCCGGCGAGGCTCCTCTTCCCAACCGGCGACCACGTCTCGCATTCAGCTATACTCCATGCTCCAGGTCAAGAACCCCTAAACTTGATAGTTATTTTCCGTATTTCTTCTTTTTGATCGGAGCACAGCCCCTGGCAAGCTGATATTACTAGCTGCCAATGCACGCACCGCACCAGTCGCATGAACGCAAGCCAGTTGAAGAAGAGATGGACCGTCAAGGCTCCATACACATAGACCAGTATCACACCAACGTCTCCTATTCTGCTGAAGTCAGTCTCTGCCGACTCCCTCTGTAATCATAATCATGTCGACACATCCTCCGCACTCCTCCTATAATCCTCTTGACGCCCAAAAAATCATGCCAACGAAAACTGCTATGCGGCCAGCAGCGAATGTGCGGCCCAGAGCCAGAAAACCGTAAAGTCTTTCAGCAGGGTTTCCACACTGAGGGCCTAGTCATACCCGCGGCAATAGTCTCGGACCTGTGCCACTTCGAAGCGCCCTGAAGTTCCGCTTGGGCATGCTAGTGTATCTACTAGCCATGGGGCGCTTTCCAAAGCATATCCAGGAGACTCTTCATGCGTCCTCTGCAATTCACTCGACACTGGCCTCTGCTCACCCACACACGTTGCCACGAGCATGATACTCGACGATAGCCTAGTATACTGAGTCCTGCCCTCCCACGAGAACCCTTGTGGTGCTTTAGCTTCTTCCGACCGCAGAAGCCATCTGAATATGATGGCCAAAAATGGAAAAGAGCCTGAGCACAAACACACTAGCATTTCCTCAGGTTCTTTTCTGTTATCGTAGCAGTGGAGTATCATCTTTAGCAGCATGCCAATCCCGATGCCTCCCCTTTCATCAATGTTCGCACCCGGACTGAAAAAGCAACTCCGTAAAACGCCGCCCGTGTGCATTATCATATGGCTCCATCCCATCGCATCTTAGCGACAAGCCTTGCCCGCATAATGCAGCAGCATAGTAGCACAGTTATTTCATGCTTCATCTCTATTCTCTACACGTACCACCCGAATGCATCACTCCACCCTCTATATCACTGTTGCTCTCATGATGCTTTCTCAGTCACTATGGCCAAACGAGTACTTATGTCCACGGCCAGCCAGGAGACGTCGACGGCGGCGGCTCCTAACCACCATACCGCCACGTCTCATGATGACCGCCACCCATCTGCGGCAACGTAGGACCCCAGCCGGCACCAGCATTGGCTCCAGCGTTCGCAGCAGCATTCATCATTTGAGCCGGAGGCGCTGGGCCCTGTCGCATCGGAATCTGACCCCAATGATGATTGGGTGGCCCGCTTGGAGTGGTCTGCTGCGCGTACTGATTGAAGCCATTTGTATGTCCAGGCGTGTTCGGATCGCTGAGAGGGCTTGGAGTCGGCTGCTTTGGACTGCGCTGCTGCCATAGATTCGACTTATCATAGGCGTGGCCGAAGCTGTTCCTAGGCTGCGGCGCGTAGGCGTGCGGTGCAAAAGGTCCGTAGCCGTATCCACCCATCTGGTCGCGGGCAGCGCGAGCCTGTGCGCCGTCCCGGCTAGCTGTACTTGGCATTCCCATGCATGATTGCTGAAACTCCTGCGCCGTCTGGTACGTGGGAGGAGGGTACTTCGGCTTCTGTTGCTGCTGGTTGTTGAAGAGAGGATTGTGGTGGAGCATTGGCTGCTGTGGCTCAATTGGACGTGGCGGCGTTTTGTCCTTGGTCAATCCCGATGCATGCCACACTTGTGACGGCGGCGTCCACTGAGAGTTCTCCTTGATAGCACCAGCAACAGAAGACATTGATGCCGATGGCGTGTGCGCCGCCGTGGACTCCCTCTCCTCAGCCGGCTTGTCGAGCTGCGACGGCTGCCATGCCGACGTGTACCCGTCACCGAGCGCATATGGGGACTCGTACACCTTCTTGCGCCGGAGGAAGCTGTTCAGCAGATACGGGTACTTCTGCACATTCTCCAAGAAACCAGGTTGCGTCTCTGGGCTCTTGGACGCCGAGGAAGTCGACGTAGCTGGCGTCAATGGCGCACCAGGAGGCGACTGCTCGCTGTGAGTACTCGTTGATGGTCGACTGCTACTGCTCACATATGGGTTCGGCGGCATATGACTGGGCTGCGGTCCGCCCATCATCGCTGCAGTCGGCGCAGAACCTTGCTTCATGTCCCTCTTCAGGTTCGATACGGATTGGTAGTTCGGCACATAGCCTGAAGGTTGTGAGCCAGGTCTCTGCAAGCCCTGCGCGCCCTGCGACTCGCGACGGGCACTCTGCATGAAGGCGGAGTACTCACCCGGGACAGCGGCCGGGAGTCTCTCGGTGGAGTAGTACTGGTCTCGCGAGAATGGCCGCAGAGGCTGATTGTCGCGTGTGGGATCATAGGTGTATTGCGGCTGGAATGGCTGAGGCTGCGGCGGCGTTGCCTCAAAAGGTGGCACCTGTGATTGCGGCGAATGACCAAACAGCGAATTCCGCCTGTCGACCTGGTTGATGAAGCTCTTCTGGGTGGCCAAGGCCTGCGGATCAACGCCCCACATGACATTTGGACGCGCAGGCTCCTTTGGCTTGTAGACGTACGGCTTTTCGCTGCGGTTAGCAGGGTTACCGATTGTGCCCACCATCTGAGTCGGCACAGAAGAAGCCGACGCCGGTGCCGGTGCAGGCGGCCTTGGGGCAGCAACGGCTTGCTGCTTGACATATTGGAAGCTCTGTGTCTGACGTGCACCTGCGTTCATACGCTCGGTGAAGTTGGCCTTGTTCGCAACCTGACCACCCGGCCTGTCGGCAAAGAAGCTCTTGGCCTCTGTGGAGATGAAGGGCAGGTAGTAGTACATCTGGTCAGGCGCGTCGATGTTGACCTTGAGCCTCTGCGCCGTCTGAAGTACCGTAGATGCATAGCTTGGCGGTGGCTCGTGCAAGTTGTAGAAGTCGTGCACTTTGTAGTCGGGATTGTCGTGGAAGACGTCGCCTTGCTCGGGCACGCCATCCTGACGATTTTCCATGGAGACGGCCTTGCGATTCATACCTTCAGGCATCGGCAAAGCACTCGGCGTTGGCTTTGGCCTCACAGAGTCAGCCGGGTTGAGCACACAAATGTACTTATATTCGACCTCAAGAAGTTCACTGTGAATTTGTGTCAGCACGGACCACCCAAGAGCACAGGCTTCACAATACGTACTGCAAGTCTGGCAAAACTTTCACAAGCACAGTAAGCTCAGCCGGCCGATTCTCAACCACCAAGGCGCCAAACACGTCCTCGCCCTTGTACTGCGCCTGCACAACATCATTAGGCTTGAGTGCTTTAGCGTAGCTCTTGATAAGCTTGCTGCTCTCCATGTCCTCGAAATTCGGGTTCTTGACCATCTTTGGCCGGTGGTACTTGCAGCGGAAGTCGAAGCCCTCCTCGTAGTACTCGGTCCCGTCCTCGTCCCAGGTAGGCACCAGACCGCCATCGATAAGTACACCAGCGGCTTGCGCGCAGGTAGCGTGGAAGGCCCTCGTGCACTTCTTCGAGTGACACTGGAAGCAAGCGCCGCGTTTAGATCGGCAGAAGTTACATTTGAGCTCCAGACGCGCCTTGTCGATGCTGTTAACACCGTAGACGATCTCGTTGTCAGCAGCGTCTTTGCCTATCCATGTCTCAGGCGTGAATAGCGCGCAAGACCTATGTGTCTTCTTGCCGGTATCGGTATTCAGCAAAGGCTCCCAAGGATTCTCATTTGGACAGAGGATGCAAGGCTCGCGACCAGCGACCTTGATCCTGATCCTGATCTTCTTCTTCTTGGGCTTCTCTTCCTTGACCTCACGCTTGCGCTTCTGACCGCGTCTGGCCTTGCCCTTGACACTGGCAGGAGGAGTCGGCAGAGCATTCTCTTCTACGTCGCTTAGATCGTCGTCGTCGTCATCAGTCTCCTCATAGTACTCTGGCGTAGGCTCGCCACGCAGCTTGCGTTCGATCTCAGCAACGTCAACCCAGACATTGTCGGCCTCGCAGTTGCACTTGCGTGCAATGCGGCCAAATTCGATCCACGAGTCAAGAGCGAAGTTCACTGACTCTGCGCAATTATAGCCAAGGTTGTAACCAGAGTGGTAGCCGTAAGGGTAAGTGATGACAAACTCGCCTTCGTAGTGTACGAGCTTATTGACCTTGACCTTGTACTGCTTCTCTAGGACTTCTGGCGAGATGAGGTAGGTCTTGTGCCGCAAGAACTGATCACAGTTCTTTGCATCGACAGGCCAAACTTGTTTCATGGCTGCCTCGAACTTCCTGGCATCTTCCTGCGAAATGCTGTACCATTGCTTTGGCGCTCCGAAGTGGATGTAGTTGATGCTGTAAAGGTCGACATCCTCCAGATGCCATGCAAATGTAGCCTTCCACATGCCCATGTAAAGGTAAGCAGTGTTGACGCCAGGGACCTTTGTTCCGAGAATATCCAATAGGTTCGGCAGATGTGCTACGTTCCAGCTCGTCGTCTTGTCGTCGAACAGCGACCCAGGCATATCAGCAGCGTACATGGGTTGGTTGAATGCCAAACTCTTCCAGTATTGCGTCTCGAGCTCTTGACATCGCTCAGGCGTGAACTCGTCGAGGCCTTCCATCCGATAGTCGAAGCTCTTGAATGCCTTCTCATCAATCACGTCCTGTGTCTCCCCGGTGTTGTTGAGACGGCGGGACGATACAGACTTGGCCTGACCACCACGAGGCTGACGGCCGCCTCTGGCCTTCGGTTCTGACTTGCTCTTGGCAGCTTTGGGCGCTGGGGAAGCCTTGCCCCGACTTCGCTTGGGAGCAGGCTCTTCGTTCTCTGATTCCGACTCCGCTGGGGGTGCCACAGGTGCTACGGCACGACGCGGCCGGCCAGGCTTTCTCTTCTCCGGAGGGGGAGCATCAGGATCCGCCGTCGCAGCCGCAGCATTTGCAGCAGCACGACCGCGCAGGCTGCCACCACCGCGGA